TCTCTCTCTCTCTCTCTCTCTCTCTCTCTCTCTCTCTCTCTCTCTCTCTCTCTCTCTCTCTCTCTCTCTCTCTCTCTCTCTCTCTCTGCGTTTTAGTCTCCAAATGCACCAAGAAGGAGAGACTGGGTGAGCAACACCGATGTAGTCCCTCTCTCTCTCTCTCTCTCTCTCTCTCTCTCTCTCTCTCTCTGTGTGTGTCTGTCTCTGCGTGTGACAGCCCTGGACACGTGTCCAGCAGCTGTCAAAAGGGAGATTGATCAGGCTTGGACACGTGTCGAGCAGCCATCAGGACGAAAATCCGTCAGGTATGGTTAACTTCGACATCGCCAACGGCAGCAATGCCCACAGCTCTTGAACTAACAGAGGAAGATATGACACGTGGCATGAAACAAGCTGAGATGTTGGCAAGATTCAGAAGCTGAAGAGGAAGATCGCACCCAATCTTCGATTCCCGTCTCACCTTTTAGTAAGCTGTGCCGCTGACAATCAACAATCACCGAGAACCGCATCCACTTTACTTCTGAGATGAATGTTGTTCTCGATGATGATGATGATGATGATGATGATGATGATGATGATGATGATCAGACATACAGCTGCATTCGTAGTGATCAGTCAGGTCTACTCTCGGTTGACCTGAACACAAGAAAAGGATAAGGGTGAGGGGGGACAAGGGATAAGGAGAGAGTGCTGTTGATTGCTCGATTGCTGGATCGACGGCACGACTGATCGAAAACAATCAAGAAGAGAAATCAACGGTCGGGGTAACCAATCAAGAAGAGCGACAGATCCACGGTCGGGGTAACCAATCAAGAAGAGCGACCGATCCACGGTCGGGGTAACCAATCAAGAAGAGAGACAGATCAACGGTCGGGGTAACCAATCAAGAAGAGAGACAGATCAACGGTCGCGGTAACCAATCAAGAAGAGAGACAGATCAACGGTCGGGGTAACCAATCAAGAAGAGAGACATATCAATGGTCGGAGTCCCCGATCAAGAAGAAAGAGATCGACGGTCGGGATAACCAATCCAGAAGAGAGAAATCAACTGTCGGGGTAACCAATCAAGAAGAGAGAAATCAACGGTTGAGACGGCTCCAATGCAGTTTTCATCACCCTGCAACTCCCAGCCAAAGTGCACCACCTGCCTGAGAAAAGGGCAACTCCCAAGCAACGAAGACAAGGACAGAGAGGAAGAAGAGGAGGTAGAGGAGGTAGAGGAGGTGGGAGTACCAGAGAACAAAGAGAGAAAGACACCAATGCCTGAACCGGATGGACGGTCCCCACACGTCAGATCAACCCCCCCCCCCCC